TTCTCATTTCATGTATGCACTATATATCTTTCTCTTTACCTCACTATTGGCTCTCTCTCTCTCCCTCTCTCTCTCTCTCTCTCTCTCTCTCTCTCTCTTTCAGTCTCTGTCATTCTTTATCACTTTGTCTCTTTATCTCTCTGTCTCTATCTCATTGCTCCACTTTCATTCTCTTTATGTCTACTCCGATTTCTATTCAGCCAGTGCACACTCCTCCAAGCTAGCTAGCCCCACGTTGACATTTACACGTTGCTGCATAAAACCTGAGATGACTGTAATAGTAGGAGCAGGCTGGCTTTGATTAAAGGACCAGAATCTTGTGAATATGTCTACCAGCGTTTCTCTTTCTTTTTCTGTCATCAATCTCTCATGTGGTTTTATCATACAGGCTTTCCCTTAAAGAAAAACACCTATTTTTATGATAAAGGTCAAGATATTTGTTTTCATCCAGGGTACGAATCATTTCCTCTATACCCGATGTACTGTCGGGAAAGATATTCCCTGTTTTATTAGCAAATGCCAAGTTTCAATGTATTAATACTTCATTATAAAAAATGCAGCATGTGAGTTAACAAAGCGGTTCATTCTTATGCTTGGTTGTTCTTGATTGTGTTAAAAAAAAATGTATATACCAAAATTTGAAAATTATAATCCTTTAGTTTTGCCTAAAAATTCAAAGATAATTTGAATAATTGCATCATGCAAAACTTGAATCACCTGCAAGTAAAGAAATTCATTTTAATGAAAAATTATGTTCAAATCCACTTAGTACACAACTTAAATGCTAAATTTGCTTAGCTTTTGAAACTGAAATTTAAAAGTCATACAAGAAAAAAGTCATGTGCATCTATGTCTTTAAAAGTTGCCATATCGATTACAGTACTTATTACAATCGGTGCTCTTTTATCTTTCGCGGTGGCTAATTAATTATTTCTGCCACTGCTTCTCCACCGCTTATTTACGATGGCTGGAAAAATGATTATACCAAGGAGTGTCTGAAAATTGTTTCTCCTCATGACTAGTTTTAATCAGGAATGTGTTTGACAGTTTTCTTGTCAATAGGAGTAAACAAGGATCTTTGCAACTTGTTTATTACTTGCATGATATACATGTAAATTACACATTGAGAACTTACATTGTAATTGCCACATGCATGTAATTGGGGTATGTTTGATTTAATTCTAGAATTAGCAATCACCCATATGTACTACAGCATACAATACAAGGCAAGATATCTATATTTGCCACTCTCCACCCAGGTGAAGTAAATGGATAACCTGTAGGAAGAAATTCCTTGAATGCTTTTCATTTTGGCTCAGCTATTTGGAGAATTGCTCCCGCTAGTTTACCAGCATTACAAATGCAGACTGCCATTCATGACCAAGATCAAACCTTTCTTGCTTGCCTTTGTATAAATAAATGTTTGAGCTAGCATTCAATTTCTCTGATTAAACACTTAAAAAGATGAAGAACACTCCCGAAGATGGACAATTATTCCATCAGAAGAGGCTGTCCGACCTTGACCATGTACGTTACGGTCAGCGAACGCTTGGAGCGGATGATCTCCGACAGCGGGTTCGTCGTCAGTGGAATGAGGGGGAGGAAAAGCAATCAATACCCATCATGCATTGTGCAGGAAACAATGTTATTCCTTTTGAGGTTTGGATCAATAGACAATATGGATGAATCTTCTCCAGGGTGGTGGAGAGAAAGAGAGACAGAGAGGGGGATGGGAGAGAAAGAGAGACAGAGAGGGGGATGGGAGAGAAAGAGAGACAGAGAGTGGGATGGGAGAGATAGAGAGACAGAGAGGGGGATGGGAGAGATAGAGAGACAGAGAGTGGGAAGGGAGAGATGGGGAGAAAGAGAGACAGAGAGGGGGAAGGGAGAGATGGCAGAAAAATGAGCCTTCAATATCAATTATTCTTTCTTGGCCTTGGGCTTTCTTGTGTTGTTGTTTTTTGGTTATCATATCAAGGCAATTAGTTGCTTTTTCATATGGAAGTTATTGATGTAATAATACATCAAGGAAAGTATGTTAACTTATTCTGAATGATATATTGATGTTCAGATGATGACAGTTAGTAATATTAGTAGGAGACATCAAATGGTATTTTTTTTAAATGAAAAATTACAAGGAAATATTTGAAAAAGAGCATGGGAAGTAAATGATGTTAGCATATGCTTTTGAAATACAAGTGATGTGAAAGCTTAGATAATACGTGGAATACATGATTTAATGTTATTTCATGAACAAAAAGTCTCTTGATCTTGATATCCGAATGAGTGATTGGGCTAATAAATCTCAAAACTTCTCTTTGAAAGTACACTATTCTTACTTATGGTTCAACTAATAGGCCTGTCATTTTTTCTTAAAATCAAATTTACTGACTGCTTTGAGAATTAGAACTTCAGGCTTAAAAATGATGCCATTAGGTGTTAATGTACCTTTAAGGTCAGGCATATGCAAACCGTTTATCACTACTTCTACTACTACCTGAACACCTGGTTGACTGATTTGATGTGCACTTTATAACTAGGCACCTGGAGTATCCTTTCTAATTAGCCAAGCAAAGGGTGGGTCACCTAAACATCCCGATGTACTTTTGTGGAGAATCACACTGCTCTCCTCCAACGTACATAACATGTGTAGATGGTCTAACAGCTCTTTGTTGAATCTGATGCATCTAAGTAAATGTTCCTGGCCTTTCCCTTGAGGGTTCGTCTGATCCTAAAACACACATAATGTCACCCGTGTCATTCACATGTAGAGAGTGTACCTCAGGGGGGAGGCAGTAGATGGGGAGGGAGAGAGAGAGAAGAGAGAAAAAGAGAATGATAGAGAGCATGGTATCATTCATCTGTATGAGTGTACCTAAGGGAGGGGTGGGAAGCAAGAGGGGAAGTGGAAAGAGAGGGCTAGATAGGTGAGAGAGAGAGAGAGAGAGAGAGAGAGAGAGAGAGAGAGAGAAGAGAATGATAGAGAGCACAATAGAGAATGGGAGACAGGAAGAGAATGGTACCATTCATCTGTATGAGTGTACCTAAGGGAGGGATGGGGCATGGAGGGGAGAGATAGGTAGATGGGGAGGGGAGAGAGAGAGAAGAGAGAAAAATTGAATGGTAGAGAGAGCAAGAGAGAATGGGAGACAGGAAGAGAGTGGTACCATTCATCTGTATGAGTGTACCTAAGGGAGGGATGGGGCATGGAGGGGAGAGAGAGAGAAGAGAGAAAAATTGAATGGTAGAGAGAGCAAGAGAGAATGGGAGACAGGAAGAGAGTGGTACCATTCATCTGTATGAGTGTACCTAAGGGAGGGATGGGGAGCAAGAGGGGGAAGTGGAAAGAGGGGATAGATAGGTAAGAGAGAAGAGCGAGAGAGAGAGAAAGAGAGAGAGAATATGGAAGAGAGAATACACCAGTTTACGGTTGTATCAGTGCGCATGCGCAGACAGTTGACCTCGGGTCATTGGCCCTGAAACAGGGCCAATAACCTTTGACCAGTGGTATTTATGCGTAAATTAAGATTGCGCCCATGCAAATGATGATGTGCGCGCCAAATGCAGCGCGTAGGCAGCGATGTCATCATAATTTGCATAGGCGCAACCTTAATTTACGCATAAATACATGAACTCTAGGTCATTGGCTTTGTTTAAAATGGCGCACACCACCGTAAACTGGTGTATTATTAGACATAGAACATGATCAAGAAAATGAAACAGATTGAGAGAGCAAAAGACAGATGGACAGGAGAAAGAGAGAGAGAGAGAGAGAGAGAATGAAGGATATAGTAATGGATAGAGGATGAGAGAGAATGAGGGAGGGGGTCCAGTTTTCCATGTGTCTAAAGGATACATATGTGGGTGTGGTTGTATTTTTTTTCACAGAAGATTGAGAGTATAGAAAGGAAATAGAAAGGACTGAGTGAGAGTGCTTATTGTATTTCATTTGAAGCAATTCATCATGACATTAAATCATTATTCATAGGAAATTAGGAATATCCATTTGTTTCTGATAAATGTTGCATCTCGTGTCTAGTCTCCAACCTAAAACCTCTTGCTTAATTTTAACCTCTAATTTGTGATTATTTATATTCTTGAATAGTACCGGGTATGCAGATTTGCACCTGAATTAGTATCTTTATTTAACCATTAATGAGAGTTATAATGATGGGAACTTTAGCAAAAATGATTTTGTCGTACCATGATATAATAAAAGCAATGTGAATATATGGTAATGAAAATCACAAGGATACTATTATTATAAGATGGGATGATAGATACAATAAAGATGCAGTCTGACATCTTAAGAAGACTAGCTGGCAATCTCTCTGCACCCAGCTGTCACCACTTGGCCGCCTGCACTGGAACATGTGAGAAATCCATTTAGCATCTTGCATGCTTGGGTGCTGATCCAGGTACAAGCCTAAATCCTGTGCGGTGGTGTGCATCCATGCTCTGGTGATGCTCAGGGCATCTAAATTGGCTCATGGGGAAGAGGATCTTGTCCTCGGGTCCGAATATATATTTGTCAGTTCGGTGTAAATTAGGAAAGCTTGGAATCACATTATGAATTTAACAGATTTACACATGTATGTAATGCAATATTTCATGTTATAGTAAAATCAATTTGAACATTGATCTCTTTGTTTGTAAGGCATGAATTCAAAAGGATTTTATACAGATGTTCACGTTCTAATATCAAAAGAGTGGAAAATAAAATTTCATTCCGTCCCCCCCCCCCCCCTTAAATCTCTCTCTCTCTAAATCTCTTTGTTTCTGACTGTCTTTGTCAGAAATTCATAAGAAAACTGATTTTTATACACAACATTTTCCTTCTTGCTCATTTGAAAATCAGTTTTGCTCATCTACCATTAATGTGACATGTTATAGAAAATTGATGTAACAGACTCCCTTCCTTATTTGTTTTTAATTGTCCCTTTTTTCATGTATTTTTTCTGTATCATTAAATAAATAAGAGACAATCACAGAGCTTGTTTCATTCCCAATCATTAATGCGTTTTTATTTCTACTTGCAGAACCAACCCATTTCACAAAGGATACAGGCAGCGCTCACTACTCTCCACCTCTATGCCAACCTAGAACCCCCCAAACCACAAGCCAAGCCCAAACCCACATCGACATCAACCACCACATCATCATCGTCATCATCATCGGCCTCATCCAAGAAGTCTAAGAAGAGCAAATCAAAATCAAAGTCGAAATCGGACACTAAGAGCAAGAGTCGAGCATCCCAGCTTGCTGCTCAGCAAGAGGGAAGATTCCAGATTGTGTCCACATACAGAGGGGTGAATCTGAAAGGACTTGATGGGCAAAGTGCGCCCTCTAGTGTTAGTAATGGTGTGGGTCGGAACAAAGGAGCAACGAAGGATGAACTTTTCAGTCTATTTGATGCTGTCATAGATGAAGAGGTATCAGTATTTTTCTTTTTTTGATATGAACTATGATGCACATAATGTGTGATGTATCGAACAGAAAAAGATTGATTGTTAAATGTTTAAATGACCTTTGTCCTCGTGTGTGTTTTTTAATTTTAATTGCATGTACTCACAGATACAAAGATGTGTGAAAGATGAGATCATGGCTATGAAATTTCCTTTCACTCATTTCTTTGTTTTGACCAGTATGGTCTGCTACTCCTCTCCCACTTTCTTCTTCTTTAATAATAATACTCAGTTTTTATATAGCGCTTAATACAATCACTAAGCGCTCCAAACTTGAAGATTATTACCTCGGCTTTAGCTGTGCTTCCATCTGTTTGTCTGCTCACTTTCTTTTTCTTTGCCTGTTTTTTTCTCATGCATGCTTCCTGTTGCTGTTAGATTTATTGTTTGAGTGTAAATATTGAAGGATTATTGAAACTAATTAACATATTGAAAGTTTACCTGAAAAATATGCCCTATTAAAAAAGACTTTGGAGGTTAACCTGAAGCAGTAGATATAAAGAGAACTGTATTTAAAGTGTTCATTCCTCCCTCTTACAGGCTAAATCATCAAGTAAGACCTCCAAATCAGACGACATCACATGTAACTCGGTTAAAATGATCCGAGAGAAGCTAGTTATCGATGACGGTCCCGACAGTGAGTACGTGTACGATCTCTACTACACAGACGACAACCAGCTTGACTTCGGCCAGACTGTTGTTACTGGTGTGCAGGTATGTTTATACTCTGTCTGGGGAGTCAATAGCATATTGGAGTGTAGTACCCATGTTTTTCAAAGCATCACAAATAGGAAAGCAAAGAGCAAATTCAGATTGAAATTGCACTTCTTACTGGCATAAATTCCACCCCTTTTTATTGTACTTACTGCTATTGAAACTGCAGCATTAACTATTAAAGCTTTACCTGAAAAGGTAATATATCAGAGGGTAACCTGAATAGATGCCCGTATTATGACAGTCAGCATCAAACCCAAATCTTACTCTTAAGTGATAAAGCACAATAAATTGAGCTTTATTGTGTGTGTCCATTTAGTAATATGACTGCACATGCTGAACACCCGAACCCACCACTCATACATGCATACATGATGTTGAATTTACTCATAGGAATACGTTTAAGATTACATGTGTTACAGACTTTAGACAGTCATTCAAATAACTGTTGAAAGGGAAAAATTATTAGAATGAGAAATGTACAAATTGCATAAACCTCGCTAAAACATCCCTACCAGAAGCAAATATATATATATATATATATATATATGTATATATATATGCGTATTTTCCTCATTTGTATTTTTTTTTAATTATCATAATTTTAGAGCATTAAGAGTCTTAAATTCATCTGTTTGAAATGCCTGTGGTTTGTTGTTCTTTCTGTGCAGTTGGAGGATGAGGAGCTAGTGCATGATTTCTTTGATGAGGGTTCCCACGAGAAGTACGATGATGAGGATGATAGCAACGATGAGAATAATTGGAGGAATGACTACCCAGATGAGGATCCAGATAAACGTGAGGCATCATTGGACAATTTCTTGAAAGAGGATGATTAAACAAAAGATCATTAGAAGACATCACAAAATCATTGGCAGATTTAGAGAGGCACAACTGACTTGTGACCCTCCCCTCATTTAAATTCAAATAGAGCATTTAGTACACAATGGAAAATGTTGACATGATAGAAAATGTGTCCCCTTTCATAATTTTTACCCAATTTGCTTAGTCAGGGATTTTTTTTATCTCGCCCTTCCCAAACACCCCCCCCCCCCCACCCCCTCTTTTTATTGAATCCTGGATCTGCCTCTAAGGCAATCACACCCAAATAACTAAACGTACTGTTTGTATGAAGACACTTGAATGGTTCAGGAAGATTACAAGGGTTTTAAAAAAATGACATGGCTCCCACAGGAATCTACTCATAAAGTAGCTGTGTGTCAAACTAAATTGGCACTACTCTAATCCTGTAATTTTGCTGCTCCCCCCCCCCCCCAGTGAACTTTTTAAAAAGAGTTTATTCTAAGAAACCAATAGAAACTTGGATTCTACATGCTTTTTATTTGAAATCACTGTTCTTCTGTTAAGTAACATTTAAGCTTTGTCAGTAAATAGACAATTTCTAATATGCCTTTATGCTGTTTTACTTGATGATCCTTCTGAAATATAGAATGAAATAAAAAATAACACTCAAGGGAGACAAGACAGGCAGTCTTGAAAGGCAATAGTCGGTATTAATCCGTTCTTTTGGAACTTGTGTAATAACTCTTATCCTGCCATAATGAATACAGCCCAGAGCCACAGGGCTAATCCCCATTGTGCCAAGCCACAAATCCCCCCTGTGCCAAGTTTATTTTGAGATAATCTGACGCACACGATGGTACGATCAATAGCACGTGCAAAGCACTCAGGACAGTACAATGAGCATGAACAATAACTGCTATTACGAATGCGAGCAAGCCTGCATGAAGTAGCGAAGCCGTAGCTCGCTCGCGTGAATTAAGCAGCCAATCGATAGCGCGCTCGCTTGTACAAAGCACTATACCGGAAGCGTGCATGCAGCCTTATGGCAGGATACGAGTTAATGTGAAATACAGACCAAGGAAAAGAATAAATAGGCAGGAGATCTTTTAGTATGGGTGGTCTTTTTATACATGTGGTACCTGATATTATCTTTTCTGTTTCTTAATGATCCACAGGACATGAAGATCTCTTTGATGAGTACAAGGACGAGTACCGATACGGCGACATATCAAGCGATGAAGACATCCTCAACGACTATGGGGACTACAGGAAACGACCAACCAAGGGCCTGGACTACTTCGGTGGCGGCCGAGATCCTCTAGATGATCTGATGTGATTGGCTGAGAGGGGACATCTTACGATCATTCAACTAATCAGATGTCTTGTTTGGTTTTCTTCTCTGAGTAATTTTTTCTCTCTACTATGAACTTTTGTTTGTGTCAGCAGCCTGTTATCCTATAATGTTTGATGCGTATGAAACAATCTGTAGATTATTATGCGCATGTATCTGTTTGCGTATAAGTGTGTATGGTTCATTCACGTTATAGTGGAGGAGAAAATTATGTCTATGTTTAGAGCAGGAGACTCAATTTTTAGGTCTCAGGCTTGGAAATTAATCCTTTACATTCCTTCTGCATGAAATTAGTTTTAAAAATCTTAGGAGCACTTCTGGTGTTATGGGAATTCTAGAAGTTGGCATAGGATTTAAGTTCCTTCCGTATCAAAGTTTATAGAAATTGAATAACTTAATATGAAATATGAAGAAAAAAAGATATTCATGTCTAGTCATAAAAAAGTCTCTTTTGACTGTTCAGAATCATGTTTTCAGATGATTTGCACGTAGTTTTTGTAATAAAGAATTGTTTTACAGTAAGATATCTCTACAGTTATTGCGTAAAGAAAAATATGACTTTCTGCTATGTCAGTAGTGTGTTTTTCACTGGTTTTCAAGAAGATAGATAATTGGAGAGAGATAGATTGGAGAAAGAAATTTTAAAAATAGGGATTAAGACAGGCAGAGTGTTGTGTGGGTATGTGTGTGAGAGTGTGTGTGTGTGTGTGTGTGTGTGGATTGTTTGAGAATGAGAGAGAGGAGATGGACAGCGAAGGAAGGAAGGAACGAGATCTTTGACACAGATGCAAAACAGAGAAGAGGATTTATCTGAACAATCATTCTACAACAAATTTACTCTCCTTTAGAAGCAATGCCCAATGTTTGTGCATTTAATGATGACTGTGCTGCAATCAAAACCTTGTCTGTACTTCTTTTTCTTAGTAAATCAAAGAGTTTGCAGAGTTCTATGACAGAGTTTGGTTTGAAAGGTGCAATTATTTGGGGGGAAAGGTGTTATTTTTGTATTGTTGTACTTTCAGATTTTGTAAATTTTTGTATTCTTAATGAAAGTACCTTGTGCCCAGTCTTCATCTTTTTTTTCTTCTTTTTCTTAGTAATTTACCATCTTAAAAACATTTTTATTGCTTCAATCTTACGGCAGCCACTTACAATGCTCCAAATCAAGAAATATTCAAAATGTTAAGTGTGTGCATATGTGCATTGCTTTGTATATTTTCAAATAAACAGAACATGTTTTTCTATTCTTGCTTTATTTTTCAAATACGTTTCCCATTGGAGGGAAAAACCTAGTATCGTATGGTAGAATTTGACCAGAAACACAGAATATTGTCAATATATTTCTATATCCATAGTGGACTAAACATTGTTTAGTAATGAGTAGAATTTGAATTTCTTTGCAGGAAAATCATAATTTCTTTTTGGGAAAATCATGTTTTCTCCCAATGTATTCTTAGGTATATACCCTTTGATTATTAAAGTTTTTATATTTCAGCCAAAGCTCTTTGCCTGACTGTCAGTACTCACCAAAATTGAAATATAAGATATCCCCCCACTGAGTAAGACACATACATAATCTAAATAGTTTCATTAGCTAGGATAATGCAACTTAAATGAGCTGAATTCTGACTATGCTTGGCATGGAAATACTATTTCCAGCCTTTTAATCATTTCATTTCGCAGGATGATCAAGTAACAAACGCTCAACTATTTCAGACTTTGATTCTGTTAATTAAGTGTGAGAGGATTTTTGTTTTAGACTGATTTTCGGTTTGACTTGGCAAAAATCAGACCGGTTTGAGTCAATTAATTCAGCACTGATGTGACATTTTTCATGTTCAAAGTTTGTACTACTAGGTCTAGTCCTATAAAAAAAATCAAGTACTTCAAAAGTACTCTATACCTGAATCAAGCATGCCTGTATTTAGGAAAGCTGTACATACACATAGGTTCTGGAAATTAGTTTTGTACATGTATAGTGTAAACTTGTAACTTTGTATAGTAGGAAGTATTCTATTCTGGACAGTGTACAAGACATTCAATTAATAAATACTTGATATGAGTACAGTGGTAGTGGGTTTCATCTAATTGACTCCATATTATTGGGGATATGATTCAAGTCCAATCCCCATGCAAGGCATTTCTTCTATACTTGTTTCTCTCAACCCAGGTGCTCTCTTCATCTGAATACACCATGCTCTGATAACATATACATGAGCTTGAGCAAGGCTAAACCATTTCTGAGCACATGTATGAATAGAAAAGTTATATGTGCACTTTAACTCATGTTCACAGTTTTAGCCGTTTACTTACAAGTAAATATCCAAGCATTAAACCATATTTCAAATTAAATCTGAATCTTATTCTTAGTTTAATGTACTATTAGAAGTAGATCAAAATAAATTTTCACGGTATTAGATGTGTGGTACGTATAGAGTATTTAAGCAGGTACATATATTTAATATACTGCCCTTTTTATAGTCAGTGCTTTTTAATAATAATACACTGTCTGTAATAACAGTGGGTTTTTGTATTAATAGCATTCATGTGTGTCAGACTTGACATCCTTTGAGCTTTAGCATGGCTGCCATTATGGCAGTCTAGCATTTTCTGTCAAGTACACATGTACCTCGCCTGGGTCGAGTGTGGCAGATGTAGATTAGTGTCCTGCCAAAGGACATGAGTGCTGCGCTGGACTCAAACAGTGAACCATGTGATCCACAGTCCTGTGATGTAGCCACTGGACAATGACACCTCCACATGCTATTTATATCATGATTTTGTTGTATTGTAATTTGTAATATTTGTACTATTCCATTAAAATGTACTCATAAAATGCTTTACACAATCCACCACTGTTTTTCATCTATTTTCATACTTTTTAATGAGATTTTATGGTTTTTTGTTTGTTAAAATATTACTTTTTCTCAATGCTTTTCTTCTTTTCATTGTTAAAATAATGTTATGTAAGTTTTTGCTTTGTCAAGTCATGCCATTTTGAAAGCAGTACTATGTTTGCTTGATTTTAAAACAGTTCTGTCTTATAATGATAATAGTAATACTAACGTTGATCATTTAGGAGCAATTAAAAACAAAAAGTACCATGTCACTTACCAAATCACAAAATATGAAGGGAAACATGAAACACAAAATTCATAAAATCATATTTATGTTAAAAAGGGAAGGAGTATGTTTGAAGGGATCTCTTGAAAGCTGCAAGATTGGATAGTGATGGAAAGTTGGGTATTGTTGCATATTTTTGAAGCAGTTTTTTAGTAGGTGAGAGTCTGGACTTAGGGAGAATCAATTTTTGTTTGTCTGTTGTTGAGTGAGGGTTATGAACGGTTTTTATATTTGGAGGGCGACATTCAGATATTCAGATGCCATATAACTCTTTTTGTTAAATGCATTGTTTGGAGTTCCTTAATCAAGGGAGAAGTGCGAGTCCAAGATGCAAGACCAAATATTAATCCAGAGGTTTGGTTTTGGACAGTTACATGTTTCACTCTATCTTTTCCAGACAAAACAGGCTTATTAAAATAATCATTATTACAACAATGATGTAGACACAAACTTTAAACAAAAAGAACAGCAATGTAAAATATCATTGTGGATCTGGGGCATCCTTTTTTTCAAGTTCATGTCCATCTTTTCTATTAATTTTGTGATAAGAAGACCTTCTTGAGAGCAAGTAAAGTGCTCCATACTCTAATTTGTTCATAAAGTCTTGTTTTCAATATTGTCAGTATAGGATAGCTACAGAAAATGAATGAACTTTCTAACAAAAGAGAGAAGATGTAAAAGCAATCCTTGTTAACATCTGTAACACTGTATGTGTAGAAAATACCAGGAAACAATAATGTGATAACTTTTTAATTGATATAAATATGTAATGATTTTACCTGTTCATGCTCTCCTGATAAGATTCTAATGTTAATCCCAAAAATAATTTAGAAAAACGAAAGAAACATTGTTGAAAAGTGATAAATAGCAGGAAACCTGTGTGGAAAGAGGAAATGATTTGTACTATAAATCAAAGTGCAGGGCATAGATCTGAAATAGAAGATATGATAGCACATGTAGGTGTAGTGTTGGCCTTAGTGTCTTAGTGAAAAAGTGAGAACTGAATTTAAAAAATGGTTCAGTGATAGTTGAGGAACCATAATCTTTGTGTTAAATGTATGTGAGTTGTTATATTTGGTTGTGTTTTATGATGCACATCACTGTCATTCCATCATGCATGTTTCTGTATTTCTATTTGGTAAAAGTTGCAACATCAATAATGTTTTAATTGGATGCCATTCTTATACAAATGTGGGTGTGTGTGAAGGATAAAATAACAAGTGCAAGTGGATATGGAGGGTGGTTGTTGTTGTTGTTGGGGGGGGGGGTCTTAGTTTGTCTTGTGCTTTGACGAAGTGTCCAATCAATGGAAAAGCATTTAGATAGAGTTTCAACTCAATAAAACAAAATTGAGATATAAACAATTTTTTTTTTGTAGAATTGAAAAGTCTGAATAATCATTCATATATTCAACTGCTGCAACACTAACCTGCCCATGCTATTTTAATTTCTATTTTTTTGTTTTTTTTTTTTTGTTAGGCTTTCCACATGCAGCCAATCCATGCAGTCATTTCAGTGAATCATAATATGTACTCTTTCAACAACAAAAAATATTTTGAATATAATGTATGCATATTCTTGTCTCCTCATTTATCAAGCAAAAAAAAAGCTTCAAGTTAGAAATGGACTTTAACCATTAGGACAGATACTGTGCACACACAATCAAACTTTCAAAATTGTTCTAAAACATTGTTACATTTTACCGCACTGCATATGCCTTGTATTTTTGTCTCATCGTAGCAATCCAGCTACTTAAAATCAGTTTGCATAAGTTCATGTCATTTTCATTTTAATCTATGTATTAAGTTCATTTTACATACCTAATGTTTTCATTTGTTTCATTGTACATAATTGTTTTTTATCAACGCACCTTGTAGTAATATGCTTGCCACTGTGTTGATGCAGCTATATATTTTTATAGCATATTTTTGCTTGTGAATATTATGCATTTATTTACTTTTTTAAATAGGATATTCTCGCTGGAAATGCCCTGAAATCCTTTTTGAAATGTGCTTCCGTAGTCCTTTGCTAGGCAAGAATACTTTGCAAATTCCACCCTGCGCAAAACACTCCTTTCAAAGTCAAGCCCATTATATAGCTCTTTATACTCAGATATTGACCAATGTTATAATTTGATGGATGATTGCAATTAAACCATGGTAATGGAAACCAATTTGAAGACTGTGTAGAGGATTTTTAGTGCAATGATGCTATAGAAAATAGATTGAACTATTTTTCTTATATTCAAATAATATGATCAGCGTTTTTTCTCTAAAATGAAAGTGTACAAATATGAAGTTGAAGTCTGACTGTGTTAAAAACACAACATCTTGATGACAGAAGGGTCTAAGTTGCGCAGATGAAAAAGTAAAATAGTTGTATTAAGATGATATCATTTCTATGAAATTATTTCCCTAACCTTAAGGCCCGGTCACACAGGGGACGCATGGGGAACGCACGGCCAGCGCATTGGAAATTTGCAATTTTGGCCAGTGCGTTGTCGTGCGCCCAACTTTTGTCGAAGCTACAGCTAGCTGACACCAAATGCATAGCGTGTTGCTAGCACGCTGGACGCATACAGGGCGCACACAGGGCGCACACAGGGCGCACACAGGGCGCACACAGAGCGCACATGAAAACAACTTCCACGAATGCACAGCGTGTTGCTAGCGCGCTGGACGAATGGTCCACGCATGCACCGCGTTCTACGACGCACGGCCAGCGCATTGGAAATCGGAAAAGGCCGTGTGCCTAACTTTTGTCATAATTTTGGAAAAGCTAGCGAGCTGACACAAAATGCACAGCGTGTAGCTAGCGTGCTGTGCGTATACAGGGCGTGTGCTCCGCGTATGTCTGGCGCTGGTCTAGCGCGCTCCACGCATGTCTGGCGTGCCTTTGGCGTGTACATTCATGCGTCGAGCTCGGCGCACGTTTTTGAGCATGCTCAAAAAATCCCGACGCACACAGCGTATGACGACGAATGCATAGCGTGGGTCCAGCGCGCTCGACGAACGAGTAACGAGTGATGACGCACGCCTAGCGAACGACAACGCACTGGCCAAAATTGCAAATTTTCCATGCGCCGGCCGTGCGTCCCCCATGCGTCCCCTCTGTGTGACCGGGCCTTTACATTGGGAATAAACCTATTGATCTATTTCTCCCGTTTAACCTTCTGTATGTGTGTGTGTGTATACTCCCTGACTTAAACTTCTTTTTTACTTCATATTTTCCACTTTTTTTCTTTAGTTCTGTTTCTTTAAATGTATTCTCTTGCTTTTTACCCCTGTAACTGTCATTAAAAATTTATTCTGAATTTCATGGTGATATATAAAACGGATATGTAATCATTGACAATCATTAGGTATTGAACCTCCCCCAATCTCCTTGAATATCCCACCATATACCAACCAAAGTAACCTTGATAAATAAATTATACTCACTATTTCAACTTCACAAATAAAGGAGACATATTTCACAGTTTACATAACTTATGCAGAAATTACTAACAATGCAGTTTATCGAACAGTTTCATTGTACAGAAAAATATTATGTAGTTATAACATTATTTGTATGAGTTTGATTTTTCTATGTATAATACTTGAATTATGGTTTATTGATTTGATTAGATCTCTTTCTCATATTAATTTCTGTTCTGGACATGCTTTCATTATTTTGTAGGTGCTGATTATAGAAGTTTACATTTGTTTATCTTTCTTATTGACTTTGTGTGGGGATCAGTTTCCAGTTTGCTCAAGACAATGAATTGTATTCACTTTGCACCTGGTCTGTAAGTGCGAAGAACTATTAAGACAATATTGTATTTCTGCAAAAAATAAATGTGAAAATACTTTATTGTAATACACTCTGTAGTGATTTTTCTTATTTTCTTTTGAACTGTATTGGTTTGCTGTAAATGAGATTCATTGAAAAGGTGATTGATTGATTGATTGATTGATTGATTGAAAGTCTCATAATTTGTGCAAAATGCAATTCAAGAATGGCTAACTTTAAAAAGGATCGTTATATAAATTTAAGAAACGCGTTTGTTATTGTTTGAAAAGTTTTTTTTTTTTTAATGGAAATGTGCTTTTAATGAGGTAATTATCTTAAAGTCATTTACAGTATCACCAGTGGCGACGTGACATAGCTAGGTATGACACCCGGGGAAAACAATAAAATTGCGGTACATCTTTTGCACTTTTAACCCATTGAATTTCTTATGGATTCACCCATATAAAATGGGAGCGATGAAATCATAGGCATAATTTGTTGGTCATATTTTCATGGGGGAGGGCTGAGGTCTGGAGTATCAATCATCCTGTTTATACATTTAACGAGCATATACATAATAACAATATTTATTATTGGTAAAAATGTTACTTTGACATAAAAATAAATTCAATTTGGCCACCTCGCTGGCTGCCCAAATATTGGAACATTTAAAATTTTAAATCCTCGGCTGTAATCGAACCGTAAACATTCATATTTTGAACATCATTATATGGGATAAGTACATATAGTTTACATTTGATTTCTCTCTCAAACCATAATTTATTCATTAAAATATGATCATGGTTTTTATTCTTCCTTTCCTCCCTTTTCTCTTTTTGTTTGTTGTTCTTCTGTCCTTGCGTGCCTTCAAGTGCCGCCCGGGGCACGTGCCCCCTCTGCCACCCCTATAGATACGCCGCTGAGTGAGACGTTCATTATGGACCTTTTATGTCGTGAATACCAGATGCTGAATTAATGATGACAATTGATATTATTTTTAAATGTTAACAATGCAGAAATGGTTAAAGAAATGGGTAAAAGAAAAAACTACATATATTTTAAAGCTCAGTATACTGACAAATAGGGCAGACATACATGTTTGATGTCTAAACTAAAGCATGTGCATAATTCAACTATAAATATTAAAAGGCAGACTAACAGTCCACAAGATTGACACTGTTCATTTAGTTAGCATTCTAGGGAAGTTGTGCAGAAGGCGATCGAGACCAATTATCAGTCTCGGGGGTGGGGGTTATTCTCTTGGGCCGACGGTATACTGTCGATCGCTGGAACCCTCAGATAACTTTTCAGAATCAGAAGACGTAAAAAAAAGAGAAAGACGGGGCGGAGAAAGATTGTACTCCATTGGTATTTTAATAATCAAATGTAGAATCGTGTACATGCCAAAATAAATGCAAAACGAAGTCATTTCAGTAAGAAAAGTTTCGTTCTGAATTTGTACATCAACGTACTATATCAACATTTTCTTTTCTTTTAATGTTACGATGGATGACTATGTTCTATCTACTTTTATTGCATCAAAGAACATAGACAAAAACATGAACATGTAAACAAAATGTATATTGACAAAAACTAAATGATCATAACTAGCTCATCATTCATTGACATACAGATATTTTTATTGCCACAATATGAGATTTAAGAAAGAAAACTATGTTGCACTCGAAAACTACTAATTACAACATTGCTAAAAGGTATCTTCAAAATTATTTAACTTTATAAGACTGTCTATATTAACAGGGCATTCCTTTTTTGTTTAAGTATTAGTGATTATCATGCTACTTGAATGCTCTTCTGCGTTGTAGGTGTGCAATAATCAACAGTCACGTGACATGTTACGAAAACAATTACAGATCTCTAGTCAAATAAGGAAAAGTGAAATATGCTGTTCTAAAACTATATAATTACCACTTCAATCCAGTTCCACATCATAACAGGAGTTTGAAAAGAAATAATTACAATATTCTTAAACATGGTTATAATAAGCTTTTTATGTTATTACACCATCAAACGGCAAAACACTGATCGATACAAGAGATTTGCCTATAAAAAGATTGAATCTAAATGCTATAAATTATCAAACAAAAGACATAACTGTATTTTCATAAGAACGGTTGTTTATTTATTTTAGGAAGTAGCTAATAGTGTTTTTTTTTGCAGAAAAATAAGTTTCAATGCTCTGTATCTTAATTAAAAACAAAAATAAAATACTCGTAATATTAACCTACCCTCTCTATGTCTACACAAAGTAAATGAGCATGAGAATCAATATTTACTGGTACTTATTTTGATTTTTCTTTGTTGTGATGACTCTTAGTGATTATATTACTAAATTATATTAAAAGTGTATTCTGCAAACATCTTTTCTTCCTGTTATTACGTTGGCTATGAGAGCAAAGCATTGCATGATATCAATGGCACTTTCCCATGAACGTATCTTTTAAAAAGGTTCTCATAATATATACTTCAGAAGTGTTTTGTCAATTGTAAGATAATGCACACTTTGCTACACGTCTGTTGCATATCTCTTAATTAAGTATTTTAGCTGTTCATTGATCATTCTTTTGGCCAGCCCCCCCCCCCCCCTTCTCTCTCTCTCTCTCTCTCTCGTATTTGATTTGATTTTTTTTTAAAGTTCTATCTTAATTTTAATTATGATGAAATGAAAAATAGTCAGTACAGACAAGGACATTTACTAACTTAGCTACTCGTACAATCAATTAAATGGTAATTATAGAATGTATAATGGCAATTATACACCTAACTAGACAGCCAGACAGAAATGTCCTTAACATTTGTCATTCATCAACAATTGTAAATATGCCCTCCATCATTGCCAGAAGAGTTTTAACAATTTCAATCCCTCGTTCTTTAGGCTCAGTCCTACTACACCCGACCCTATCCTATATATCCTCTCCCAATCCCCACCCCATCACCTCCCTATCCCCAACCCCCATCCCAACCCCCATCCCATCCCATCCGATCTCTTACCCCATCCTCACCCATCCCCGCCCTTCACAGATGTCTACCCTTAGGCCTCACTTCCAGTAGTATTCACTGCGGGCGGGTATGCGGCTACTGCACCACCAGGTAGCGGCGTGTTTCCGGTCGGTACTGGGGTGTATGCAGGAGGGGCGCCACCAATGCCGGTCACTGTCGGCGGGTACGCCTGGAAGGCCATTGCGGTCGGCGGGTAAGGCGCGGTCATTGGTGCAGTTGACGCTGCTTGTGGTGGGTACGAAGCGGTTGGTGGAGGGTACGCCGAACCGACCTGCACCGGGTAGGTCTGTACGGGGGTCGTTTCGTTGGAAGTCACAACAGCTGAGGATGCGTTGCGTTTTGACCGCGGCTTCGAGCATACTTTACCGATAATAACTGCGAATAACCCGACGAAAGTAAGGGAACCAATAACGATGAGGCTGATAGCCCACCCCTCCAGATTTGCTAATATTTAAAAGAAAGATAAAAGAAACTAATGACTAACCTGTAACAAGGAGGTTGCATGTATTAGACATGCATTAAAACAAGAATATATAATTCACTGTCACAATACATTTAGGAGTCTACCAATCTATTCATTTCATTTTGTTCATTTGCATAACTAAAAACACATAAATTTAAAGATTAAAAGCGCTGAATTGCCCAGAAGCAGGAACTTTATTTATTATTCGCTAATAGCACGGATTTTGACATAAATATGTTGCCGGTTTATGGTCACCTTCTGGTTTTACCAGGGACGAATTGTTGTGACCGTTTGAAGCACATTTAATGGTGGGTCCAGGGACACGGGTGGCACGTGCACTCCCCCCCCCCACCCCCTCCCCGGCAAAAGACAATTTAGCATATCTATTTAAGTACACATCGAGAATATAAAATATATTTTTTTTGAAATTGTATTATTTATTTCTCTTATTATTGCTTGCTAGAGAATGTAAGAGTACAATGACACCTAAAATATCAGAGGATTTCGAGACATATAACTCCCCCCCCCCCCCCACTCCCACTCCCCACCCCCCCCCCCCTTCCCTTCCCCTCCCTCCGCCAGAAAATCCTAGATCCCCGCAAGTATGAGATTTGAACTTGGAGTTAAGCCTACGTACAGTTATTAGAGCGTGCACATTTGATGCCAACATCCTCGTAGTGATCGCAGTCGTTGGTATCCCAATCCAACCTGTAGCATCCAAGGAGTGTCGCCTCATATCCGTAACAATGGACGTCATCAAGATGGATGGGATCTTGACCGGGTCCATATTGACTGACGGGAAAAGATAGATGGATAGAAAGATAGGCAAATTTATGTGCAGCAGTATTTTGCAGTTTCTGGAGTCGAACAAGTCATTGGATTCAATACTTTCCCGCACACATTGTGTGCACAATCTCCACTCCCTGGGGTCTGGGGAGCATTCCAGCAAGGCGTTACTTAACGCTCAAAAACTGTTTGACCAACAATGACGGTCGCATCCTATACCGGGTACCCATTTAACACCTGGGTGGAGAGTAGCAAGTGCAGGTAAATATCTTGCCAAAGGATATTTAGTGCCCTGTTGGGATTCGAACCCTCGACATTCGCATCTCCAGTCAAGCTCCTTAAACCACTCGACCACGACGCTCCTAATTAGCATGCTCTTTTTACACTAAAACGTTTGCCCCTTTAAACTACCACGACATATTTTATTCAACTTATCTAAGACGCATTTTTCCAACCTATCATCATTTAAACATCATGCTCGGGATCATGCTCTTTTGAATTTCGTAGAACGCCAAGATAATCAGTGGCTCTTTGTTCAGGAATATAAAGCTTTAGACAATGTAGGAGTTTTCAAACTCAAGGCAACCCCACATGTTTATTCCCAAATGTCTTTCATCTGAAAAGGACTGAGACATAATGACCATTATGACATGTTTTTATCAACTCTCATCTCTCACGAAACAATAGATTTCTCATAGCCTCCCTAATATACTCCAATAGCTCAAAGAGACTGAGAGCATTTTTCTCAAATTTCCCAGAAAATTCGCTCGCTAAACTCGCTTGCATTTATAGTTTATCTCATTAAGTAATATATCGAAGGCCATTATAAATTTATTCTTTCATTGCGAGATTATGTGTAAAACCCCATCAGGTTCAGTAATCATCAGGTTTAAAATCTTAAAGATAAAGGTGAGTTCTGTTAATGCGATTGCATTGTGAAAGAAGAGGTGTGGAATGGATCAGAAAAAGCTGATCATGTAGCATGTAAGTATTGGTGTGTACTGCAAGGTTCTGGAGTCATCAAAATCATAATAAATTTGGCCCAATCTTGGTAAAGTAACAAGCACTGTACACAGAAAGATGTATATGGGAGTACACATGGTGTCGGGGCTACCTTGATTTCCTTATCTTTCTTTGCTAAACTACTCAGCCAGTATACATTTTCTTCCAAAATTGTTTGGCACATGACATTTATTTGTAATCTTAAAAATTCAGTGTAAGTTCCAGAAAGTGCCCTTTTTCTGGTGCACCCCCACTTTGAAAGACGCTCCGCCGCCCATGGTTGTATAGATGATAGATGGATAGAAAGATGGATAGATAGATTGATTGAACCATCAGTAAACTGTGTGCAGTGGAAATACTTACCTGGTCTTAGTGTATGATACACCATTGTAGCCAAGTTGACGACATGCGACACGAGCCTCGTCGTAAGACCAGTAATCGTTACAGACTGTACCCCAGACACTGTTATGATAGATTTCCACACGACCTTCGTCCAGATCTTCACCGTCAACGAGACGGAGATCGCCCTCCCTCGCTGTGGTCATTATGATAAGAAGTCGTTATGATAATACAAACATAGTGATGGTTATTTTAATTTTAGATAATAGGCCTTACTTCATTTTTATGTCTCATTTGCATTAGTGTTGAAAAAAACTAGACCTCGCTTTTGTGTTTTGAGATTTTACACATTGCCACTTATTGGCACAAATTTGTTATGAGCTACTAATGAGATAATTCTCTTTAATTTTTTCTTTTGTTGTTACTATTTTTGTTTTACGGGGCAATAGCAGTTTGTTTGGAGGTACAGCCCATCCTTTACCCCCTTCCTCCTTTAAACAGAATCGTGCACACCTTGAGTATACCAAAGAATGAAACAAAAGGGGAAAATCGCCCCTCCCTTTTATGTGGTTTTCTTGCCGCCCCCTCAAGGTTTGCCTATATGAAAATTTAAACTTTTCTTTTTCTTTTGCTTGTTAGAGACTTTTGAGAATCGTGCTCCTTTCTTATTTTCTGCTTTTATTCTTTTTTCTTCTTTTTTTGGGGGGGGGGGGGTGTACTTTTTTCTAAAAATTATCATCCATCTCTTCTTTTTAATCTTCTTCCTCTTCTTATAATTATATTTTCTGTTTTCTTTTTCTTCTTCGTCCGTGTATGGGGAGTGGCCAAATTGTATAAATAAGTTTATTTTTCGTCTTAATCATTTTCTTCCCTTGTAGTACCTGAATAAATCGAGCATATGATTCCAACATCCTCATTATGACCGCAGTTATCGACGCCCCAACCGCGGTCCCAGCAGCTGGTCAGCGTCAATTCTTTACCCGTACAGTCCACGTTATCCAGCCAAATCACCGTGCTCGAATCCGCCGAGCCAAAATACGCCTTCTCCTTGACCGCCAGTGCGCTGGCGAAACCGAGTTGCCGGCAAGCAACGTCGGCGTCAGCTAGGTCGAAGTAGTCGTCGCATATCGTGCCCCACACGTAGTTGTGGTAGATCTCCAGGCGGCCTTCAATGTCGGAGGAGCCGCCGACCAGTCGGAGGTCGCCTTCTATTTGTGCCCCTGTGTTCGATATGGACGGGATGGATGCGGATAAGTATGTGTGTGGAGACAGAGAGAGAGAGAGAGAGAGAGGGGGGGAGAGAGAGAGAGAGAGAGAAGGTAAGACAGGTCGGGAGGATAGCAGGAGATGAGAGAAGAGGAAGAGAGGGAGAGAGAAAGAGAGAGAGAGAGAGAGAGAGAAGGTAAGACAGGTCGGGAGGATAGCAGGAGATGAGAGAAGAGGAAGAGAGGGAGAGAGAAAGAGAGAGAGAGAGAGAGAGAGAGAGAAGGTAAGACAGGTCGGGAGGATAGCAGGAGATGAGAGAAGAGGAAGAGAGGGAGGGAGAGGCAGAATGTGAATAAGAATAGGAGATCAACAAAGAATAGGTTGGAGATGGATGGAGAATGAAGAGAGGGGTAGAGGGCAAGAGAAGCGGATGGAGGAGAGAGAGGGTGTGGACAGTTTAGGGGAGCGATCGAGGCAAGGAGAGGAAGAAGAAGAGTTGAGAACGCGATAGTTTTTTTTACATGATATCTTTCACATTTAAAGCTGATTAAATCAATAATGTTGATGTCACGTACGGACCCTGCAGAGACAGGTTTCCATATTAATCTTTCTAGAGAGAGTTTGCAGAACAAGACTTATGCATGCATATCACCCCAATGCATATCACCCCCCCCCCCCCCCCATGTCCTACATGAAATTTCCAGATCGCTTTCAAATTTGCTAAATACTTAACAAACACAAATAATGACAATAAAATGCTTGTACAATCTTCTTAATAAGGGTGAACGTCAACAAAACAGTGCGACACGAATGCATTTACAACAACAGTACTATGCAGAATAATATCAATAATGTAAGCACTTGCTATTTACGTAGACATACTGTAAGTAATATTTTCTGTTCGTCATTCAAAGAAACTTACTATGGGGGTATATACAAGAAAGGGGCTGCCTAGATACATTTGCTCAACCCCTGTCTTGGGAGGATGGATGCCGCCTCTCGCCTTTATCAATCTCTTGATATGCCACTTAGGGTATGTACAGCTATAGTTTACAGGGTTAAAGATAATGCTTGTTCAAATCAATTATCGATACTTAACAGAATACATGCGATAACTCCCTGATTTGTACTTTGATCCAATCCTTGGCTAAAACATTTTTTGTACCAACAGACCAATATCCGCGAGTTTTTCGATTATAGCCGGTGCTCACTCATCAATAATAATAATAATAATAATAATAATAATAATAATAACAACTAGTATTTAGTACGCTCTCCATAATAAACTATTTCACAAATAATAATACATAACGTACAACCGAATTTCATCAAAAAAGGTACGTACACAATGTTTGAAAGGGATAGGGAAAAGAAAAGTGCTCAAGTTAACTATTTAGGGAAGAGGTATGTTTTCAAGAGTTTCTTAAATTTATTGGTATGTGGAATAATTTGCTGCTTTAATAAAAGAGGGATAATTGTTCCATTCTGTGGATGCAGTAACAGTGAATGATCGATCGCCAGCTTTGCTACGGGTCCTAGGAATGGTAAGCAGAAATGGGTCTTGAGAAGAGCGAAGATTAGGGCGAGATGGGTTACGAGATGTAAAGCAATCTTTGATATATTATGTTGGCGTCTGGCCATGGAAGGCTTTAGAACACTCAAACGTAAAATATTCTCAATACTTTTAGTTTTAGTGCCATCTGATTGAACAGACTCTCATCCATAATTCCATTAGAAATATCATGCAGATATCATGGAATCAAAATTGTACTTTTTCTATATACGCTCTATTATTTCCATTCACGTATTGTAATGCTCGCATGTAAAATTTGCCCTAATATGATTATAGTTTCAAGAATTCGCCATCGTGTTCTATATTACTATTTATCTATATGAACTTAGTAAAAGTAAGTAAGTTTCCAACATAACAATTTTGCTGACTATTTTTTTAAAATAAAAACGAAAATAATAATTCGAAGCTTCCGGTAGACATTAAGTAGATATTTCGCTGACTGAGATAATCTTATGAAAGGAGGAATATAGACCCGCGATAATTAGGGAATTTTGGAGTACACAAAATGTTATATTCGTTAATAATTAACTCGGTTTCATACAGCAGATTTGATGAGTGGTTACTTTGATACGACGGCCTTTATCGCTAAAATAGTATAAGGAATATATATATATATATATATATATATATATATATATATATATATATATGCGTCACTGATGACATAATGATTGACACTCTGATAACATGGTTAAATAGTTTTACATTCTTTTAAAGATTTGGCAAGAAATGAAATTCATGTCAAATACAACCATGTATCTAATTATGATTACACGGTGAAAACAATTATTTATCAGCATTTGTTATCGTTATAGATAATGGTAATAAAAGTAGTAGTAGTAGTATAGTTGTAGTAGTAGTAGTAGTATAGTAGTATATAAGTAGTATAGGGTAGTAGTAGTAGAATAGTAGTAGTAGTAGTAGTAGTAGTAGTAGTAGTAGTAGTAGTAGTAGTAGTATAGTAGTAGTAGTAGTATTAGTAGTAGTAGTAGTATAATAATATAGTATAGTATGATAATTAAGATATGTAATGGTAGTAATATTAGTAGTAGCAAAATAGTAGTATAGCAGTAGTAGTACAAACTGTACTAGATTGTAGTGGTAGTACTAGTTTAGAAGTAGGTAGATAGTATTGTAGTAATAATAGTAGTATAGTAGAAGTGGTGGTGGAAGTAGTAGTATAGTGTTGGTAGTAGTAGTAGTAGTAGTAGTAGTAGTATAGTAGTAGTAGTAGTAGTAGTAGTATAGTAGTAGTAGTAGTAGTAGTAGTATAGTAGTAGTAGTAGTAGTAGTAATAGTAGTAGTAGTATAGTCAGGATGAGTATAGTAGTAGTAGTAGTAGTAGTAGTAATAGTAGTCGTCGTATTGTAGCAGTACTCGTAGTGGTAAAGTAGTAGTAGGTATGTTCTGATAAAAAAAAAAGACAAGGCGAAAGGCACAATGAATCCCTCTCCCCCCCCCCCCCATTTTTTTTTTTTTTTTTTTTTTTTTTTTTTTTTTTTTAAATAAATAAATAAAAAACGATTAGAATGATGATCATCCTCTATGGATTTTTAAGAGTAATCTGACGGATACGATCATACCTATGTTTTAATAATCTTCCAATATTTATACATTCATTTTCTGGGAGAAGGTTGTGGTTGGTCGGAAATCTGTTAGGAAAGGCGGATATACATTGGCCCCTTCTCTTTTTTGTATTACGTTGGTGCTCAGAAAGCTTGACCTGATATAAAGCTGAAGCTGAAACTTGAGATGAAGCTGAAGCACAAGCTATATAAGTTTTGTTGTCTGTTTTAGCGACAAAATGCATTTGCATGCAGAAGCGTTACAAGTATACATGTTTTGATCAACAGCCGAAAGCACGACAGCAAGCGTATCTCATCCTTATATCGTCATATTCCTCACCAGAACCGCACACCACACCAATATCGTCCTCATGGGTGCAGCCATCATCATATACCCCCCATCCAGGAGATTGGCATTCGGCTAGGGTCGATTCGAGGCCGGAGCAGTGTACCTCATCCAAAAAGATGAGCTGGGCATCGCGACCGGGTCCGAAATGTCTCGTGACTTCAAGGTGGGCACGCCCGAGTTGCTGACATACGACCGTAGCCTCTGACTTGCCCCATTTATTTTTAGCGCATACCGTGCCCCAGCGATTATCGTGGTAGATTTCGAGTCGCCCCTCGTAGCGATCAACATTGTTTGAGCCCTCAACGAGACGGACATCGCCGTCCATCCAAATGTAATCTGTGTAATACCGAGGCATTTTTTTACTTTCTCGTCTATCATATTCATTCGGATATACTTCAATTCAATTTTAAAATTTGAATTTTCTATATGTATGGTGGTAATTGATTTTTATTTATAAATACGCATGATGACAGGTAAATTGCCCAATATAAGGGAACGAAAGAAGCCATAATAACCAAACGAAATCAATATCATGTATGATTATCATTTTGTCATCAGCGAAATGTACCCATATTTTGTATCCTATTTCTGTTCTTTGTAAACTCTGTCTGAGTCTTTACCTGTATCCATGTTGAACGTACATCGGACAAATAAATATATTGAATTGAATTTTACTGTTAATTATTTTATTTTCTCAGTTTATCTTAAAATTTTTCCATTGGTGGAGGTCCCATAATATAATATTTCATTCACTTGAATTTGAATCTATGGGTTGATGGTTCGAATCCCAACCTGACATTGACGTAGTTGGTAAATCACATTTGCCACTATCTCCACCCAAGTTTTAAATGCATTATTATTCCTTCAAAACACAATCCATCCTCCAAACAAAACATGGAGAATTCACTTTTGACAATGGCAATGCATTTTGCAACTTTTCACCTTTTTTTTCACAATAACAAGAGATAGTTATTGTATCTACGCCAAAACATGAATTGCATAAGTCTTGTTGAGGGGTTTATATACTCTGTTCCTATCACCTCAACATCGGGGTGAATAGGAACACTCGTTATTATGTAATTATGTAACAGATCAAGTCTAATTTTGATGGAATTTCTTTCTACGTGGAAGTGGACATGAGTGCATACAAAATGTACATGAGCAAAAACATTTACCACTGGCCATGTGATTAAGAAAGTTAAGGGAAAATATATCAAAACTGTTCTTCATCTTTTTACGGTAAATTATTTTGTCTTTACAATACCAAACTTTCATTTGTTCATTTATTTTCATCTTCATATAAAAACAATAGATCATTACAATATTATACATACATAAATTAAAAAAATACATGTTAACAGTATCAAAAGAGACCAAATTTACCAGTTGAAAATGAGAACAGGGGAACTAAAATAAGGCCAAAATGTCAAATAATTTCCCTAAAAGTATAATATTATCATTTGGTGTTTTTTCAACTTATTCAGTTACTAACTTGTAAACAAATTAAAAACAAATAGTGTGTAATAAATAAGCCAGTGGAACAGCGTAGTGTAAAATATAATTATGTTTTAAGTCAGTATTTGGACAAATAATAAATTTTCAGATATTTTTTAAATAAAATTTGAACAAACTCCATTCTAACTACTATGACAATGATGATGATGATGATGATGAAGATGGTGATGACGATCATCATGTTAATAATGATGTCAATTATAACGATAACAATGATAACAATAATAATAGTAGTAGTAATAATAATGATAATAATAACGATAATAGTAACAATAATGATAACAATTATAATAATAATAACATTGAAAATAATAATAAATAAAAAAATAACAATACAAGTAATAAAAACAATGATAATGATAGTGACAGTAATAATAATAATAATAATAACGATAATATTGATAATGACATCAATAATAATAATAATAATAATAATAGTAACAATACAAATAGTAGTAGTAGCAGTAGCAGTAGTAAATTAGTAATAGTACTAGTAGTAGTCGCAATAATAATTATAATGATAATGCACATTTATTTTGTAACGCGCCTAATACTGTGATTTAGGCGCCATGGTGCTGTTGTCGTTGCCAAGCAATTAGGCAAAGCATATTTTCCCTAATATATCTTAATTCGTCATGCTAAGTTATTCTCTTGTATATATATATATATATATATATATATATATGCTTCCATTTTCCTTTTATTTATCTGGAAATATATTCACATTTGATAATATTCTAAGCATGGTGCATGTATTTCAGATTTTATGTTGAGTTAGTTTCAATCACAAACTTTCTGACGATGAGAGCATTTATTGTGCTATGTACGTTATTATAGATGTAACTTGTGGATACTATCGATACATCTTACGAATCTCAGACCTTTTCTTTAATTCGTTGCAGTTCCTACTAATCTATACTTACCAACTTGGGCGATGGCTGGTGCAAAAATCATCAAGAAAGTCCATAACATCCTGAGCCTCGTCATGATGTTTTTTCTCGTGTTTAGGTACTCTCTGAATCCTTCTAATTGTACTGAGTTCCCCCCAGAATAAGATTTTCCAAATCTGTTCCGCGTTCGGGCTTGTACGTGCAATATCAGACCAGTTTAGAGCAGTATCCACAACAAAGGAACTGTTTTTCGGTTATGATGTCTTGGATCCTCAATTAAACGAACCAGTTTGTTAGTAGAGCTTCTTTCTTATACCGTGTGCCTCAGAGTTCCCATTGAATACCTTTTACTGCAATTGTTAAAAAATAATATTGTTGTATTTCTCCAAAACGGTATGTTGGAATGGTCCTTTCTTTATGAGATGACTCAAGATGTGTATAATTATTATACACTCTTAATGGTGTAAGCTTGCTTGTATCTTAATCATTAATAAGTTAAATCATCAACGGATGACGTTAAGGTTTTGTTTGCATTAGTGGACCTTTGGACTGGGCAGGTTCGACTAATCATTGATATGTCGTGGACTTCATCAAACCGAATTATTAAAGACCGTCATGAGAGAACAAGAGAGAGGGAGAGAGAGAAAAAAGAGAGGGAGGGAGAGAGGGAGAGAGAGAGACAGAGAGAGAGAGAGAGAGAGAAAGAGAGAGAAGAGAGAGAGAAAGAGAGAGAAGAGAGAGAGAGGGTGTGTGTGTGGGGGGGGGGGGGGGGGGGGGAACGCATGGTACGGTGGGACACCACTCGGACCGCAGTATAGGCCTAAACACGGTGTCAAAGACGATGGCACTTGTGATTATGAGGCAACAGCCCATGAGACAAATCACCCACAAGAACGACATTCTTATATCTTCCCTTATTTATATCTCTGTTTTATCGGTATCGTGGGCTGTCGGTCTACTGGGATGACCCGATTTTGAACTAGACGCAGTGTTCTGGTTCTATTTACTGGGTTTAAATTCGTCTGTTTTTAGTGTCTTTGTGTTCCATTGTACTTTTCGACTAATTCCTCTTCTTTCCCCTGTTTTTCTCTGCACATTTTTCTTCCTACTTCTTCTTTTTATGAATTCTTCTTACCTTCTTTCCAAATTTTAACCAGGGGCTACTCAGTCTGTACTCACTCGCCTATACATGGCTTCTTTTTCCGATATAATGAAGCGATTAGAAGAAGAAGTTGAGGGTCGTAGTGGATGCTGTTTGAGTCACTTTTCAATATTACCGCCATGGATCCCATTAATTGGGTGATAAAAACTGACTTGTGTAGCGCATTTACATTTCATGCATCATTAACACCACCATAACAAAACTTTTTTCTTCAAAAGAGATTTGACCAAAATAAGAATAAATTCAACAAAACAATTTCCGTATAGCCAGAGTTTGATTTTTTTTTTTTTTTTTTTTTTTTTGGGGGGGGGGCACATACATGTAATTGATCGACGTCCTGGGGAGGGGTCTAAACAAGTTCAACCGATCTTTGAAAAAAAATAGGGGGCACGGGGGGCACGTGCCCCCCCCCCCCCCCCCATTTTTTTTTTCTTCCAAGATCTACGGGCCTGCCTAGGACTTTTTTAGCACAATGGCAGCACATTAATGGCGTAAGGCCGATTCTTGAATAGGATGGCATAGAAAGGGATAAACACTAGGTCGCATTTAATACCTGTCATAACTCTAATCATTATATTGGAGAAGTGTTATGACAATGTGACAATTCGTCGCTGTTTTCACGAAGTGACGGTAGTGAAAAAAAATTGCATTCACTTTGCGTTACGATTTTCCTCACTACCGTCACTTCGTGAAAACAAGGACGAATTAATGAAAAATATTTAAGTGGAGTGTTAAGCATGTAATACGACTGGTCAGGGTGCACCCATCCCACATAATGCTGAGAAGAGATAGTTATAAAGCTGTGATAATACACATACTTTAGTAGCACCCTTCTCGAGTATGCCTCATGATATATATATATTGGGTTTAATATTCATGAAAACCATGCCTCAAATGAATATCTGCTGGTAAACACATTTCTTAATATGATTGTATAAGCCAGGCGCGTACGCAGTGGGGGGGGGGGGGGGGGGGGTTTAACCCCCCTCATTTTTTTTTAAATTGTCGTGGCTGAGTCGTTGCGAGAAAAAAAAATCGGCGCGATTTTCAAATTTTAAAACACCCCCCTTGAAAAAAATCCTGCGTACGCCACTGGTATAACCCATTATGGATAAGATATCCAAAGTCGCATCACTACTTGTACATAAATTATATCTGATATACATGAAGTGGACACAATCAAACTTGGAATATCCATACTATTAAAAGATAATTTTAAAAGGTAAACTAAGTATTTTTTTTTTAATGGCAAGTTAATGTAAAGGTAAACCTGATATTAATGAACTGATGGATAAAAAACTTGTCCTATCAAATCGAATCAAGTAAAATAATTATGCAAAGTAACGTGGACTTGATAAACAGGGTCGATATAAGCCCATTAAAGATAAGAATGAGAGGGAAATATGCGTTGCAATGGCAATGAGATTAAATATTTCTTTCCCACATTCTCCAGCCACAAATGCAATTTCCTACACTAACCAAATTCCTAATTTCAACCTTGAACCAAACAATTACTGACCTATATTTAACTCTAAAACTTACCCTAAAACATTTATTGTGTAGTTGTAATTGTGGATGTAGATTGTAAGATGCTCTAGTAGAATGCATAGTTTCAGTATTTAAAAATCGGAAATCTTCTTCCTTCATTTTTCCATTTTCTCGCAGATTATTGCTATTATTTGTTTTATTGTTTTATTTATTTATTTATTAACAGGGTAGCCCCATCAGTAGTTCAAATACTGTTATACTTAATTGATATACTGTTAATTATATACGAGAGCTAGAGAAATCATTACTGCTTCATATATAGAGAGTCATTGATTTAAAGGGAATGTGAGATGTCTCTCTCCCTGGAAATCTGATTAGAAGGGGTCGTCGCCTTCTCCTCCAAAATTTAGAAATCTCCAAAAAAGTTTCTAAATTAACGATTTAAAACTGTCTAACCCAATTTAGAGGATGGAGAAAGGATTTAAATATGTCTGTTTAGTTAAAAATGTTCAAACGACGCGAATTACTTGCTCGGTCGCTGCACTCCCTCGCAAAGTGCGTCGATAGAATGAAAAGTTGCATTTTCAGTTCAACCCAAAGAAAATAGTCATAATAAATATCTGTGCCCAAGTTATTATAATCATAAATTGAAAAATGCTTCCTCGTGCTTTCTGTCACAGACGCACCTTTGAGGAATATGTATTTCCGAGTGCCCTTTTATTTGTATACGGGCAACTCTTTTGAATACTTCTTGATAAAACATATTTTGAAACAAGCACTATCATCAAATAAACTTGAAGACAAAAAAAGTGAAATATTAGTCAAACAGATATGGGCGGTATTTGGTAAGTATTGAAATCATATCTTAATTTCTGCATTGCTTTCATACAAACAAATCAGCATATTTTTGGGGCAAATTTTTGTACGGATAATTTTGCACTGATCTTTTCACCTATAGTGTAGTCATCATTGGACACTTTCAATATATTCCTGGTTTCTTTGATTGTACAGTTCTGAAATAGGATCTCTTCTCGATCATAGTGGGGCGCTGCGCCCCTCCCCCAGAACTGAAAATATGTTCTGTGCCCCCCTTCCCCCTTACGATCTGTTGTCAATATAGGCTGACAATAAGCGTATCATCGGAGAGAGTCCATTTTCTTTGTGGAGGCATAACAAATATAAATTCAAAATCTTCCAAGAAAGGCAAGAATGCTAGGTAAAGTATCGCAAATATTATAGCTAGGCTAAACTCTATAATGATACTATGCCCACTGTGCCATACAATAGCTATAGATAAATAAAAGTAAAAAATAATCCCAGTTTCTAAGATACTTACGTGCAGTTTGATCTTTGAAAAGTTTTTGACAGGCAAGAAATTACCCATAGCGTGCTCGTGGGCACAATTTGGATGGGGGACTTGCTCCTATGACCCCTCTAATCTCCCCCCCCCCCCCCCCCCCCCGCCCCGCCCCCGATTCGATTCAGTCACATGTGCACAACACTACAAGTACCAGCAGAAATTTACATCGCTCGCTCGGATCGGGTCACGATCACGTCGTGTACGTATACAGTGTACCTACGGGAGCATGGAGGAGACCAACGCCAGAACTTTCGGGGAAGGTGCTATGAATATTTTGTCATGCTGGACAACAGTTTTCACCCTATTTTTGTGTTTGATATGCTCAGAAGCGTTTACAGATGGGTGGTAGGTATCATTCTAAGCACAATTTATTCAACTTTGCACCTTAGTCAAGGCTATAGGCGGTAAGATAGACCGGACTATAGACCCAACAATAGTGTTAATAAATAATAATATACCTAGAAAATTATTGAAATTTGTTAGACTCTGAACTCTCTGTTTTTACTTTTTAATTGCACAGCACCAACTGCTGCACTGCACATGCCAAGAGCACCTTGCCAGACATTCCCACTTTAATTTCATATTCTGACTAATATATAGATCGATCCTGTCGAGTACATACCATAGACAATAGTAGTACTAAATAAAAGAAGTGATAACAAGTTTTGGGGATGTAGCCCCAGACCTTGATAACTGTGTATGTTGGTCATCACTTTTTTCATTTTCCAAAAGAAAGAAAAAAAATAGTGAGTTCCTGCTCCATGAAGTGTGAAGAAGGTTTTGACTTTCGAGTCCTGTAGTTTAGCAATGATGTCTTGTGCATGATAATGCCCAGACGGGTGTCGGAGCTGCCAACCTTGGATGACCAAAAAAAGGAACCATGGGCATGGCATGATCACTCCAGCAAAGCATAGAGAGTCATAGACCGAAAGCTTCAGTCTCTGATATCGACGGTTCACGGTTGTTCCGCTGAGATTGCATCTGGCTCCTCTGACCGCCTCTGTATATGGGGAATGTCAACAAATGTCAGTTTTATTAAAGAAATGATCCATGATATCGGACAGTTATTTCTGTCTAAGAGAGTCAATGCTAATGCGTATTGACCTCTAGCACTGCATAGGCCTACTTGCTGTGAGGCAGGTATTAAATACACAAATATACACACCACACAATATTGTATTGACTGCACACACCGTTTGGGCCGATCGGCAAATTTGACACTAGACTTACAATTTGAATTTTTTAATTATTCTTTTTAACATCAGTAAGTTGAACAAAATGTATTTTACTGCTATTTAGGTGTCATCAATTGTCACTAAACTAAAGTACCGATTTTGAGTGAAATCAGTTGAGTTTTGTACAGTGGTGTTTGAAATGTTGAGAATCAAAAGCACAGCTTTTACTACACAGCCAGGATAGTAATGCACCT